GAGTCTGTTGCACTGAATGTTTGGTCACATTTATAATCTTGTATGCTCATTATTTGATCACATGGTTCCTGATTTACGTCAAAATGTGGCCATTTGAGAACTTTATTTTGTTAAATCAAAAAAGGGTGTATAGAAAAATATGTTTATATTTCTCAAAGTAAAGTATCTAAAAAGTTATGTTTTAGTATTGGTCGGGTATTGTATCTCCACTGGTATGGAAAATATTAAAACAATTCCCAGCCTTAGTCTTAAGATGCATTCAATGTATGGTAATTGTACTCATTATAGGGAGTACAAGTCATTCTCTGAAAACAAGGGGTCTGGAATCTGAAAGACATTTACCAGGCAGGAAGGGTATAACGACACTGACTTGTATGATGGGAAATGTAGCATCCAGCTTTTCTTTGTTTTTGTTTTTTGGCCTGTTATTGCCTTTATTTGACAGTGACAGCTGGAGATAGACAGGAAAGGGGGGGTAGAGAGAGGGGATGACACACAGCAAAGGGCCACAGGTCAGATTCGAACCCTGGGCCGCTGCAGGACTCGGTCCGTGGTCGCCAGCTCTACCAAGTGAGCGAACCGGGCGCCCGCATCCAGCTTTTCTTAGACAAAACGACCAACTAAAAGTCAGCCTCAGCTACCATAAATTTTTTTTGGAAAGTCTTTACAGGAATATGAATTCTTTTAGTTTTACTGAAGGTACTCATTTAACTTTACACTGAACTGTACACAGAGAAGCAACTTCTTCCATCCTTTCCCTCAGATGCGGGTTGCAATGCAAGGCAATACTTAAGTGTCACTCAGTCTATCACACACGCACACACACACACACACACACACACACACACACACACACACACACACACACACACACACACAGTGACTGAATCCTCCCCTGTCTTTATACAAGCTGAGCTGAAATCTCTCATCCTTCCCTTTTTGAAAAGAGATAATGATGCTCGTTTCTCAGCTCAAAGAAGTCATTAATGTGTGACACAGCCTTGAATGTAGGATATCAAAGCTCCACAGAGTGCAACCCCCTCCCGCCCACGAATGGGCACAACCTCGTTAAGATGGCGGAGACATGAATTAATCATCAGTCCACCCTGTAATAGGGCAAGAAATTGTTAGCAGCATCAGTTGTTGTGAGAAATGTCCCTTTGAATCGCTCGGAAGTATAAAGCTTTTTACAAATCTTTCATCTCATCAAATTTACTCTACCAGATATGCTGATGAACGTGCTCCATCGTGTACCCTCATCCAATCTCTTTCACAGATGTGATAGCATTGGAAAGGTGAAAAATGGGAGAAATTAGTGAGTCACATATGACAAGGCCAGATTTGTATGAGTTCAAATGCAATACAAGGCTGTAAAAGAGAAGATTGTGAGCCTTGTACGGGAGCAGTGATATATACCGTTAAAGATAAAATAAAGTACATCCTGAATACATAGCATGACCTGTCCCTCTGAATACCAAAGGAACAAATCTCTATTCACATCCACGTTCTTTCATAGACATAGACATTTTATTTGCTGCTCCTCTATGTGTAAAAATCCTGTTGGTGCATATTAACATCAGGTTTCTATTACTTCATTACTATCTGAGAGCAGAGCTTCTCTGATCCTGGGTTAAAAGGTAATATCTTGTACTTGGCAGGAGTTATTAAGTTGCCTGCAGTGTGCTCTTGTTCAGAGCGAATACTAAAGCATTAAAGGAGTATAAAAGCCACCCATTATTGGTGGTCAGATGTTAAACCTATTCATCATTATTTAAGTGAAAAAATCCTGGCATTTCCTAAGGTAATTGCTCCTTTTGTGCAGAATGTGTTTAGGGAATAAAAAACTAAAGACACAAAGCAGCATATCCACCACTGTTTCCCGGGCTTTTGTGTATCCCATCACAAGAATGACCCATGATTTTGAGTTCAGCTGAGGTTTTATGATCAAAGCACAGTAGTGGATGTTGTTCACTAACCTCCCCATTCCTGTTTTAAGGTGTTGAGTTTTTTGTTTTTTTTTAATCTCCTAGCAACCACGACTGGTGTGCCAAGAGAAAGATCACTTTTATAGAACAGTTTAATCTGTCCGTAGAGGCCGAATGTTTCATCATTAATTGGGTGGATTGCCATGAAGTTTGGTATCCCATATTGCAACATCATCAGGTATTAATTTTTATTCTGTCCAGTATTTTGTTTGATGATAAAATACCTGCAAAAACTACAAAAAACATGCCCATCAGCCTCATGCAGTAGCCTACTTTGTGTTTAGTGGTTATTCTCAAATGTTAGCATTCTAACACACTAAACTAAGTTGGTAAACCTACTAAGCATCAGCATGATAGCATTGTCATTCCCAACATATTAACATGCTGACATTAGCATTTAGCTCAAAGCACTGTTGTGTCTATGTGCAGCCTCACAGAGCTGCAAGCATGGCAGTAGACTCTTATTCAATGCTTTAGTATTGAGCTTCACATACTTTGTTTTGAACTGCAGCAAATATTCACTCTGTTGTGTCTATATAGACTCCAAAGTGTGTTGTCAGTGCTCTAAAAGTGAATTAATTAGGAGTGATTTTGAAAGTGCTCTGAAATTAGTAGAGTATTGTAATGGTTCTGTAAAGTGCCACTTTGAAAACATTATACCAGCCGACTGTGAGGTCGCTAACATGGTCATTAAGGTTTTTAGAAGGACAGTAAATGTGATAGTGGTGGTCACAAATATACAAACCTTTCACATCCAAGTGTGCAGCCTTGTCATGAAGTAAATGAATGCTAATCTTTGCAATTTTATGAGCCAAATCTACCAGCAACGTGATGCAACACATGCAAGCTAAAGCCATCTTGCTATTGTGTGGCCTGTTTGTTTAATCCAGCTTCTATGTCTGTCAGGAAAGTGGGCAATTTGCAAGCTGCAAGTGCTCTTAATATAAAATGTTGAAGTAGGGTGGCTTGTTCCCACATTGCATCCCCACCTTTCCTCCTTCTCTCCCACTTTTGGCTGTTTGAAGTGCCAGTTGGAGAGCTGTAACAGGAGTATCATTCACTGTAATGGTGGAGCGTCCTCCTCCACAGCCCTCACTTAGATCACTTAATCCACTTCAACAGTCCAGCGCTGTGCTCTGCGTGAACACAGCACGTTCACAATGGGAGGTTAGACAGAAACTAGCGTTGACCTGTCAGCTTGTGCTAAAATGCCACACTAAAACACTTGAAACCAGCTCACTTAATATGGATGTTGGACTATGCCTGCTGCACACTAAAGAGTCAAAACCCAAAGCTTTTTTTGGCTTTTTTGGCTAAAAAGTTTATCATACTATGCTTTAAAGAGGACACAGAAGATTCATTGTGATTATTATTGTGATATTAGTGTGGCCATCATCATCCACTACTGGTACTACTTGTTCTATTTAATCACTTTCTTTATACAGACGTTTGGGTTCCTCACAGAGTCGTGGTATTTTGTAGTGAATGAGTGATAAAAAAAATGGTTTCAAACTGCCAGTCAAGTCATTGGAATAAACCCAATAGCCTAGCAGATAAAATGTGGATACTTTATGTGGCCAGTTTATTCAGCATTGTATCTACTTTCAGCTTAGAGGATTCTGACTCAGATATCTCAGACCTCATCCTAAAGTCCAAGCCCTCCACCTGTCAGTTAGATCCCCTCCCCACAGTTCTGGTGAAAGCCTGCCTCCCCTGTCAACTCCACTGGCTCCCGGTCAAACTCTGCATAGACTTCAAAATCCTCCTGTTTACGTTCAAGGCCATCCACAACCTTTCCCCTCCTTATCTGTCCGAACTCCTCCACATCGCCACCCCTTCCCGTTCCCTCAGATCTGCCTCCTCTGTCCACTTCTCTGTCCCCCCCCGCCCGCCTCGTCACCATGGGGAGCAGGGCTTTCAGCCGCTCTGCCCCCCTACTCTGGAACTCACTTCCACCGGACATCAGGAACCTGGACTCTCTCCCCCTCTTCAAATCAAGACTAAAATCTCACCTATTCAGAACTGCATACCCCACTTAACTCTCCACATTGTCTTTTTCCTGTCTGTTTCTTATTTTTGACTGTTTTTATTTTTATGTATTGTACGGTTTTCCTTGAGTGCCCAGAGAGGTGCCTTTAAATAAAATGTATTAGAGGCAGGTTTCGAAGTTCAAAAGTAAGTTATAGGCAGCTATAGAAGAAAGGGGTTTCAGTAGAGTAGAGTGGTAAGTCCAGAGCTGAAAAGTAAAGAAATCAAAGGACAAGCTAGAAGCTGTTGTTCTGGTTGTTTTGCCACAAGACAGTGCTTTAAGTTTATTTCAAGGGCAGAGAGCCAGAGCTCAAGAATGGAAAAACCTTCAATGCAAAATGATCTTGTGCTGTAGCTGACAGGCTGTAGCCAGTGTACATGCCATTATAATATTAATGGTCTGGGAATTGACAGAAAAGAGGCAGGTTTAAGGTTGATAATGAGCCTATTAACAGGTTTCCATTCACACATTTGTGAACTGAGGAATGAAAGATGTCACAAGCGTTAATCTTTAAGTAGGAGGGAAGCAATCTGCTGTCCCTGACTGTATGGTTAACCTGCATCCATCACACCCACACTCACATTTTTCATTTCTGCTAAAGCTATACGATCAAATTCTACAGATACTCTTCAAAGATACAAAAAATCCGTCTATGATGTACCTTCTAACACCATAGAGGGAAAAACAAGGTTATTTTCTTCAGCTGGGCAAGTACAGGAGTCAAAAGATACTTTGAAACAAAATGTTTTTCAGTTGAAGGTGGGGCACAAGCTGCCTGTCCCATAGTAATGCAGATCTAAGTGTCTTCAATATCTGGACTCAGAGTCAGTGCTGCATAACTTATTGTTGTCACATGCAGCAATGAATCTGTGCACTTTCTCTGAAATAATTAAGTAATTAATTGCCTTGTTTGTTACTTATAATAAATACAAAATAATGAACATCCAAACAGATGAATTGGAACAGTGACTGAGTCTCAGACAAAATACTCCACACAATAATTTAATAAAATCAACCACAGACTAGAAAAAAGAGAGCAAAGGCATTTTGTATTGAAGAGGGCAAAAAAAGCTCAACTAGCAACAGGAAGTTTCTTTCCACTGTAAGCTTGAGTTATTACATGTTTACAGTATATGTATATTACCTTCATGAGTTCAGTCAAGCTAAATGCTCTACACATCATCATTGTACATAACACCATTTCCGTATCAGGTCATGTTAACTTGTAGCACTCAGATGAGATGAGTAACATTGAGGTTTGACTCTTGACATTAGCACAGGTGTAACCAAAGTGTATGTTATATTTTCCATTATTTATGGGGATGAAAGTTGCACAGTAGCTGTTTAGTACAGAAGGTACAGATTTTATGAGTCATTCAAAAGCAGAAAATGCAGCTGTGGGGTCGATGACAGCAAGGTGAGTGAATTGTCATTTTAATTTGAAAGCATAGCTGACTGCAGCAATCACAGAAATGTTTCAGATTCAGAAAGAAAGCACAGAATAAGGCAAACACAGTGAAACCCAAACCAATATCATGGCCAGTCCTTCAGGATATACAGTGTCAGTGTGTGCCTGTCAAAGAAATTACAAAAATACCAGCCGTAACAATGACATTTCTTTCGTTCCTATTCAAGGTGGCTTCACTACAAAATCTCCATTTAAATTCACACCAGTGGGAATACAGATATGTCTGTGTCACAAAAAACAATTAATATTATAAGGAAAACCACCTGACCATCTTCAAATTTGCTTTTCCTTGGCATTTAACTGAAACATTTAGAGAGTTGGAGATGAGTTCAGATGTGCATGGGAGTGTCCCAGGCTGACACAAACTGATCTTTCTCAGATTTTAATATTTATATTTAAATATTAAAACCTCATAGTAAAATAAGACAGGTATAGGTAGGTCTCAGGCAGATTAATACTGAGCATGAGCACTGCTCTCTCTGTCTGTTTGAAAAGTAAACCATGAACCACATTTGAATCCGGTCATGTTTGCCCATCTTTTATAAAGCAGTCATTGCCCTTATTGAGCCAGAGAAATTGGTTTTAGGCTACATCACATCAGTGATAATAACATGACAATAACATGCACATATGAGATGAGCTTTCTTATTATTTTAATCCCATAAACAGTAGAAAACCAAAAAAAAAAAATGGAAACCTCTCTGTTCACTGCTTCCTTCTTGAGTTGCGGGTTGAGAATGTCGTTCTGCACTCAGGGTCAAGAAATGGAAATTAAAGCTATAATATGCAACTTCTGGGATTAAAAGTAACAAAACAGGTGAGTTTTATACAATAATCAGTTCCTCCAATAATCAACCCTCTGTTCAAACCTCTGTTTGTACATTTCTAAATCACTCAGCTGGTCTCAAAATATCCTTTCGGTGATGTAAAATGATGGATCTCACAAGGGTTCTAGGTAGTTGCTAAACCAGGAGGTTGGGTTTAAGTACAACATTTTAATTATTATGTTTAAAGAAGGAGCCTCCAGATAATTAAGTGTAGTTGTAAAGGCGGAAATGGTTGAGATTAGGAAAGGTTGTTTTTGTTGAATATAGCAGAGACTGACCTCTCTGCCAGTAACTACTGATGCGCTGTGTGTTTAGGGTGTCTTCCTGTCGATGAGCAACAAGAACAAAGCTTTGAAGCGGAAAGAAAAGTAAAGTGGAGAAACTTCAAAAGCATCTGGTCAATGGCACCATGCTTCAAACAATCAGAACATGAACATGTGTTCAGCAAAAAAGGCAGAATTAGAGAGACGTATTGTCCTGATTACTTCCAAGTGGACCACAGACAACTGATACCAACCAGAGGGGGAAATCTGGGTTGCTGTTTGTGTTACTTTGCTGATCTTTTTTTTTTACTAAAATCCATCCTTAAATGTCGCGAGATATACACTCAAAAACTGTAAATTTTTAAAAAGCACTCCAACAGAAGAGTCCATGATGTTCTCTCTTCTGTGTAGTTGAACACTCAGCAGGACAAAATGGAGTCAGAAGCGTAGCAGCATAAAGGCACTGTGTTATTTCTACAAGCCAACAGAAGTAAATCCAAGAGAAATCACGAGCATATCGCCACTTATTTTCAGAGAAGTGGCCAATGTTCCAAACAAATAAAAATCCAGGCAGGAAATGGAGGGCTGGTTGACCTCCAAACACCAGACAAACAGTTTTTTACCGAAATCTGTCAGACAGAATCCAGTGAGCATCCAGAGGAGTCTGAACTGAGGGAGCAGAACCAAGTGCAAAGGTCAGACTACAGTGAGGGCAACCTTGTTAGTTTGTTTGTTTGTTCAACGCCCACAGGGTCAAAACACACACACACACACACACACACACACACACACACACACACACACACACACACAAAGACTGAGCTCACACCTCACTCAGAATTATGAGATTTAAGAGAGAAAATAAATACAAATATTTAATTAACACATACAGCAGGTAGACAAGAAACACAAGCTGCAATCATATGAATCAATGATCAAAGCCATTTTGGGAAAGATGATTATTTGCTTTCTTGTTGAAAGTAAGATGAGCATATACAACTTTCATGTCTGAGCGGTTAATATACAGCCAGCAGCTGGTTATCTTAGCTTCGCATAAAATCTGAAAATAAAAGGGAAATAGCCAGCCTGGCTTTTCCAGAGGTAAAATAAATCTACTTACCAGCCCCTTTAGAGCTCACTGATTAATATGTTATATATTGTTTGTTTAATCTGTATAAAACCCCAAGCATTAAGACAATAAGTTGTTGTTTTATGGAGAGTTATGTGCCAGACTACTTCTTGGCTGCGATCAGTGCCTGTGTGGAATCACTACTGGTTGCCTACTTGCCAACCTCAGGGACGACTAAATGACAAGCTGCTAGTAGGCATATTTCGTTTCCTCCTGTTTCCAGTCTTTATGCTAAGCTAAGCAAACCCATCCTGGCTGTAGCTTCATATTTGGTGTCCAGACATGAGAGTGGTATCAATCTTCTTGTCTAACTCTGAAAGAAAGCTAATTAGCGTGTTTTAAACTACTACTTTAAGGACAAAGCCACTAGTTTTATAATGTAGGTTCTCTGTGTTAGTCCCATTGGTTAGTCTATAGTAGGACCTATGTGTAACCAGTCCACTGTCTTGTAAAACTTAATAGCACAGAGATACTAAAGTAAACTAAAGAAGGTTTTCGAATATGAAAGGCTGATTTTGCTTACATAAAGAAATGTCGACATTAAAAAAAGGCAAATTTGGTATGAGGAATTAACACAGAGAATGGGACAGAACCAAAATATAGAAAAACATTACTGCCTTTAGAGCTCACATTAATAAAAGCTGTTGAGCTCGATCAAAATAGAGAAAACCATCAATTTTATGCCAACATCCACAGGAAGTTGAATAAAGCAGTGGATGTACGTCAACCACATGTTAACGTGTGCATGATGGCTACCCTGTGTATGCTGTGTTCCTTCCCAGTGTAGTAGCAGTATGACTCTGAGCAGACGACAACAAAAGTGGCAGAGAAACTTCTAAAGCTTGTGGCTTTTTTTCCCGTGATACTAACATTAATCCACTGGTAACTCTCTCTCTCTGTTGCCATTTTTAGTTAAGTATGCCAAAATTGGAAGTTCTCAGAGGAGAAGATATTCTGGTATCAGCCAGGAATGATTCAGTATGATTGTTTGTAAGCCTTCAGGTACTCACAAAGAAGGGAGTAGGTGAACAATGGCGCTCATGTCAGTAAAAAAAAACTATAAAAACAAGTACAGGCCTAAAAGTGTAAAGGAATGTTATCTGGCCAATGCTAAAACAACATCCTGCAGATTCAGTGCACATACATGGACATTCACACTCACTCAACTTCAGTAAAAAAAATAATAAATCTCTGTGCTTGGTTCTGCTTGTTCGTTTTGAGCCACGACAGGCTAGAAGGTCAAAAGGTCACTGTCTAAGAAAGACTCGGTCTGTTTGGTTAGTTCCATTCAAATCCATTTTATACACATTAAACATTGTATAGGGTGATGGAGACATCGCAGAGTGCCTGGGTGGAAGGGTGGCCTTGTCGTTGAATGGCCACAGACCTCCTAGTAGTTCACCTCGTAGACAGTTGCCTTCTTATCTCCCGAGCCAGTCACAATGTACTTATCATCTATAGAGATGTCGCAGCTCAGCACTGAGGACGACTCCTTTGACTGTAAAAGATGTAAAAAGTGTGTTTGAGAGGCATGAAGGCCATGTGTGATAGACAGGTGTTCAACAGAGGACTTGATATGATTTATTTCTCCATCCAGTCCACCTTATCTATAAAAAGTAAAGTGCAGTCACAAACTTAGCTCCCACTACAACTTTTCTTTTCGAAAGTCTCATGAAGGCTTTTCATTCAAATGTTTGTGTCCTTGATATACAATGATATCCCAGAAGGAGAGCTGAGTTTGTGGCAACGTGTCTATAACTGACTATTCCTCCAAAAGGGGGGCAGAAAAGTTTTGGATGTCTTGATGTCAATTAAATCTGTAACCTCCTGGCTGTCAGACTGAACTGTATTCGGCCTCTCAGCTGTCATTCATGTTTGTGTTCTTGTGCTTCATTCTTCCACACTTACCTGGAATATGCTGGCTCCATACGGGGTTCTCCATGCGTTGAGCAGATTGTCTTTTCCTGTGCTCACAAACCACTTCCCTGTGGAGAATGGCAAACTTCATTAGGCCACATCAAGACAAAATACTTGGCCAGAATTTTAAACTTGTCTCAACACTTACTGTAAACGGCACTTAAAATTAATCTATGCATTCTCATTCAAACTCATTCTGCTATCAGATTTAAAAAATCCCCAAAATAAAAGCTTTTGCCAAAACATGAGTGAAGCTAATGGACACTGACGTTAATGGACACTGACATATTAAAGCAGAATGTATATTATTATCTGCTCCGAGGGTTCAGCTGCTAATTCACCTGACAGTTAATCAATTGGCACGACAACTGGGTCAAACAAATCTTTTCTTGATTTGCTTCTTGACTCCTTCTTAACAAATAGGAGCATTCAACAATATCAGTGGTATCCATTTATTTGATAAGCCCGTTCATACATGTAGTGAGCAATAATGACTCATAGTTTAACAACTCTCCTCTCTAGGATGCATCAGAAATAATGTAGATAACTCTTTGTCACACACTGATAGATTCAGTGCAGAGTGAAAGTTGTAACTGATTAAAAAAAAAAAAAAAAAAAAAAATGTTGTCCTGAAAAGTGTGTTCAAATGAGAGAAAGGGAGGGGTCTGGGGTGAACCAAGAGGAAAAGGGCTTCAAATCTACCATTACACTGTGGGTCCTTGAACAGTGCTGCATGTCTAACTGAACACTACCTTCTTATTTTAACCACTGGAGGGCGAATTGATCCAAACTTTGTGAAATATATACAGTATGATACTAGCATATAATGCTCAAATACAGTACATCTCTACATTATAATCATTTTGATATAATGTAGAGATATTTTTTAGGCATTACTATGCTCCTACATTAGAACTGATCACTTGCAAATAAAACAACAGTTAGTTATCAGATTTTGGGACACTGGCCTGTATTAAGTGATGGCAATGCAAACATCAAAATAATCTATGCAGATAATGCCTATTGGTGCTCCATGCTAAGACTTTGCCGGCTGATTCCATCTTATCCAGGAGTCTTAATCTTTAATTAAACTTCTAAAAAATCATTATTGGTTTGGATTTCTTCACCTGAAAAACACCTTAATTTACATTCTAAATTATGTAATCACATTTGTGTTCATTACAAACTGTCCTTTTCTCTAGTGCATAATATCATTATAATACTGAAGTGAGACATTAGCAGTTCCCACCAGCTCACACCTAATTTGATGAACAAGACAATTTCCCCAAGATGTGGTACATACATTAATTTAAGACCTTTTCAAAAATGCTGGTAGGAACATGTTTGTGGATTCTTACCACAATGAGCAAATCTGAGTGAGAGCACACAGCTTTCATGCAGGTGGAGCTGGTACTTGTCCGGTTTGGTGACATGCAGGACCTCCACATTATTGTTCTCCATCCCCACTGCCAGCCACTCCCCCGTTGGACAGTATCCCAGTGAGAAGATCTGCAACGAAACCCAGAAATTACAGTAGTTATAGCTCTAATAGTTTATATAAATATAATGTATAATCCTCTTTTATATTAGTCCACTCTAGATTTTTTTCAGTACATGAAGATTGTGTTTGTCTGTGTGGGTGTGCGCTGATATTAACATTTCTATGAATGCTGGCAAAAGTCCACTGTATGCTTTTCTACACCATCATAAACATTTCAGTCCCTGACGTACTAATCTGTTGAAACAGATGGCTGTTTCAGTTTCTAAAATCGTGTTAAGTATGCAACAGTCCTGCCGGAAAAAAGCAATTATACATCATGAAATAAGGTGGGTGAATGATTTAGTCAATTCTCATTTTTGAAACAAAACTCAACAATATTTTTCCAGATGATGAAGACCAAAATAGCGCACAGGGAATACACCTGATGCCTCTATGACACAAAAGTATTTTTTCTCTGCCAAATCGCTTTAAATTTAAAATTTGCTGAAGCTGTTTTTTTTGGCAGGTGGAGGTTAGAACAGATATTATTGGATAGCATAGCACTCTATTGGCCATGTCTCCCCCTGTCTGCCCTGCCCTCTCTGAGCTCTCTTTAATGCACACTCACCCCCTCCTATGCACACTGAGACTGTGAAATGGGTCTTTTCAGGAAAAATTGCAGTAATGGTCTATTATTGCTGCTCTTCTCCTAACCTGAAAAAAAACTCAATTCTAACCGCCAGTATTATTAGTTGAGCACAGGGCAGAAAACCAGTGCTCAGTCCAGCCTTTACTATGGGTTAAATGTTCTGAACTGAGCTTGTAAATTACTGCAATAAGGCAAAGCCCGAGAGTGTAATCACGCAACTGTAAATGGCTGTGACTTGTCCCGAGATGGACAATTTTCAACAATCTGTGCCTTTTACTTTAAACACCAGATAATAACAAAAACCAAGCCTGTTTGCAGCTTACACTGGCAAACTGCTGGAGGGACTGAACAAACGACAAACCACTCTATTGCTACACAAACTATGATCCATACCATATCCCAACAGCACCTAAAACAGGACATACAGTAGTTTCTGCAATAATGGAAAGGGTTTGTTTGTGTGTAAGAAGCATCTAGTGTACCTGGGAGGTGAAGTCGTGCTGCTGCAGCTGCCGTCCCTCCCTGAGGTCCCAGGATCGCACGGTGTTATCCAGGCCTCCAGTCCACAGCTTGGTCCCATCATTAGAGATGTCTATACAGCTGGCTCCGTCAGTGTGGCCCTGGAACTGTCTGCAGAAACAAAACACAGAGTCAGACAAACCCATACACAACAGCAGAGTTTTCTTCAAATCAGTGAACACATACAAATATTTGCATCTCCCCTTGAAGAGAAAAGACACTCCTAAAATAGCAATAAGAAAGTTTCAGTATGTCAGCCCTCAATCTCAGTTTGAAGGTGAACTTGCAGGAGGCACAAAGAAGAACAAAAGTACATTCTGAGTACAAACCACGGGCTGATTAACAGCAATTAAGTGATTAACACACCTTCTGCCAGTGCCCTGAGAACTTATCATTGATGCTATGAGATGATAAAGTGACCAACTTTATCTAAATCACTGTCTGGCATTCATTACACGTTGGTGAGAAACACTGGTCTGCGTATGCAAGGACCAATGGAGTGACACTGACTGTGATTGCAGTTCATTTTAAGATCAATCACATCGCCATCAATGCCTCAATGTAACCTAACTTCCAATATAACTGTAAAAAGTGGGCATTTTGGTAAGTAAGAGTAATTCTTTTTTAAAACTCAAATTCTCAGTGACAGCGAGAATAAAGTCAAGATTTGGGAGAAAAAAAAGGGGAAGAAAATCCCCTATTCATTACTTAAATATTATAAAACAATATTCACAATGTCAAAAAAAAGTCTTACACTTAATAATGCAGTGCTTTTTGAAAAATAATTTCAGAAGTATTTTTTCTTTTGGAAACTGGGTGCAGTTTCTTTTAAAAAGTGAATTATATACAGTATCTTCTGTAAAACCACGGAAGACCAATAATTTAAGAACTTCTGGGATGGACTGTGACGCTGGCTAAACTTATGGTTATATGTCATTAGTTATTGTAGCTATTGTCAGTTTAACTGGCTCTGACAACTGGTTTTAAGTTGGCATGGTATTCGTTCATTAGTATGGAACTAATCAAAACCCTCACAAATTACCCTCCCCAGTTCCATACCTAACCAGAGTCTGATTGTGAAGATCCCAGACGGCTATGTTTCCGTCGGAGCAGCAGGAAAAGCAGACCTTGGAGTCGGGGCTGATGGCCAGAGCATAACACGCAGGTGCTGATGAAGTCAGTTCAGCCTTGATTCGTGGAGTTGGTGTAGCCAAATCCCAGATTGACAGAGTACTCGCCTCGCCCCCGACAATGAGAGTGCGCCCATCCGGAAGTAGCCGACAGGAGCGGATGTAGTTATCTCTGTTCTGATGTGACAGACGCACAGGAGTACTTTGTTACTGGCATTAAAGTATCAATGCAAACTGTAAGCTAGTTGCTATATGAAGTGAGGGTCATCTAGGTAAGGGTCATCGCAGTGCACTCACAAGGCAGTCTAGCTGGGATACAGGGGTCTTGTTGCCCGGGTGACTGATGTCCCACACCTTAACGCAACCCTTGCCGCCGGTGTAGACATGACGCGTCGGGTTACTGATGGTGACAGCACACACCACCTCCCCGTGGCTGAGAGTATTGATCTGTCGTGCGTGGCGGGGAATGCCAGGACCGATCAGTGAATCCGGAGGAAAAGGCACAGGCTGCATTTGTCCATCAGCGCTCACATGAAAGGAGTAGGCTCTAGAGGAAAGAAAAGGGTCATGTGGAGTAATAACGGATGCTGAGAGAAGTGAGGGGAAAGGTAAATGCAAATGTGACATTGTTGGCGTAATTATGCTCTTTGAGAAGTAAGAGAGGAAACATACGGTTTTCCACCAGGAATGCCTGACAGGTTGGGAGGAAGGCCAGGGACACGTATGTGGTGGTGAGGATCAAATCCCACCTAGAGGATCGAAGAAAGAGAGTTTAGAGACAATAAACAAATTATACAACACATAGAGCTGTTGGTAGCTGGTTTAAAGATGATTATATTTGTCTGTGTAGTAGAGACGTTTTCCACAATTTGGTAGCAGGCAGCATCTTTGAATTAGAATTAATCTTTTTAAAAGAAGACATGAACTAGCTTTTGCAGCTTGCATACTGTATGTCCTGAATGCTGCAATTTCTGCATTAAATGCACCATAAACTTCAAAGCCCCCATGCTGTAAGCAAGGGAAAAGATGTCTGGGTGTTTAGGATAGTGCCAGGCTAAATTTGGTTGAAACACAGCAGGGTTTGTATAGACATCTAAGTAATAAATGTTGTTTTAAAAGCATTTATAAGTATACAATGTGCATATGTTTGGTTACCACTTGTGTGCGTCCATAAGCTGCCACCGCAGCAGCAGCCACTGCGCTCATCTGTGGAGAAATGTTATGCAGGCCGGTGTAGGCTGCTCCTGCTCCGCTCAGCTCTCCGTTTATACCCGGGTGGGGAACCATCCCAAATGGACTGGGGTACGAGCAGGGCACCGCCAATGGCGTACGGAGACCAGGAGCTACGAGACACAAAACACTGTCTGATACAAGTTGGGAGATTTGATTCTGAGGTTAGCAATGTTTTTGGTTTTCACTGCTTTCATTAAATTTGGGTCTAAAATCTTCAAACATCCCAGGTATTAGTGTAGAGATTGAGCTTATACAGTTTCTGTATCTTGTATTTGGCTGAACAGCAATCAAATGTCAAACTTTGTGATGTTCTGGCTCAAAATGGGCTAAACAAGTTTCTACTTTTGTCAAGCCTCTTACTGATTCATATCCACTATCTCACTGATGCATGCTGAGAAGTTATATGTCCTGTTTGTAACACTCACCCAGCGTCTCGACTCCTGAGGGTTTACTGGGTGCAGTCCTGAGGCCCGGGGTTGAGGTGCTGCTGGGTGTCGGGGCATCAGAGCGGGATGTCGGGGTGCTGGACTTGGACACGGGCGTGGTGGACTTCTCATTCTACAGCACAAAAAAGTAAAGTAATCTTAATCACACAAGGAGCTAAAAGAAACACATAACCATTTGGAAATTTAATAGCAGAGCAGAATCATTTAAATAATACTGGAACTGTTCATGCTTTGACTGAGTTTATGACTCATAAAATGAATATTCTATTATAATGTATTACGTGTTGTTACATGCTTTCAGATACAGATTTAAGAGTTTAATTAAAACCAAACCTTTATTCTCTCCTATACCTTACAATGATTACATTTTTATGAATGCCTAAAAATAGAAAACTACCCAGAGAAATGATGAAAAAGAAGATCAGAAGGCTATAATTACCCAAATGACTCACCAAATTAATCTCTTTGGATTTGGATGAAGGTGTACTGCTGGAGGAGGCGATGGAGGAAGGACTCAGCGGAGCATCCTTCTTCAACAGACGACGCTTGTCCAACCCATTCTCCCGAGGTGAGTGGGCAGGACTTCCTCGAGGAGACACTGGGTCCTGTGGTGGGTGAGCACAGACAGAGATTAGAAAGTCAAATGCAGTTAGTTTAGTAATCAGCTTACACAAAACAACTCCATGTTGCTAAACTGTGTTGTACCTCATTGGAGACGTCCACTACCAGGTTGTCATCGCTCTTCTCTCCATCACTTTCCTGGGACGAACACATAGAATACATACACTTGAGTTATATTCGTATAGAAATTGAGTGCATTTCATGTAATAAGCATTTTGTTTTAATATATATGGATGAAAACATCGGCAGTATGTCTACTTGCTGAGGTGTCTTTAGGAGGTGCTTTCATCACATTTAATATCCCATTTATCTGATAGTAAAATAACATAAAGTTCTAAAAAGGGTCATTATAAAAATCCATGATTTAATTAATGCTCTGAGAGAAGACCATAAAAGCTATTTTAACATTCCTCTGGCATTTTTCCTTTTTGATTTTTGCATGTTTTAATTATCAGATAAAGTGGTCAAAATGGATCCATTGTGTACACTCCAGATGGCTCATTTGGCCGGGATACAAGCCCTAAACGGCAACATACTGAGCTCGAATCTGAGCTACGAACTTTACCATGTCAGGTCTCTCTCTTGCTGTGTTTCTTTTGCCAACTGCCAACAAAAATAAAGAAAGTGTGGGGTTTGAATGTGGCTCATGTGCGATAACTTCACATACTGTCAGTCAGAAGGCCTTTGTTTTGTTGTGGATTTCATATTAGACAGTTGGCACTCCTCTTTTTTCTCCAAAATGGTGAATATTTCATCCAAAGTGTAGCTAATGTAATTATTATTGTACAAAAGCCATATGATCACATGAAGAAATATTGCCCTTTCTTATTAGGTAAGGTAAAAAATTATGTTCACCCACATAGCGTGTAGACTCCTTATCATCTGTCTTCTGTTTCTTGCTGTCGGAGGAATAATCACTTGAACTCCTGTGCTTCTCTCCGGCCCGAAAACTGGCCGAGGGAGATACAGATGAGCTCTGGAAGAAACAAGAACTACATATTTAAAAGGAGATTAAAATAAACTTTATTCTTCATTTTAAAGGACATGTCGAAAAAATGCCCCAGAACTGAGGAGTCTCTTTAACTGCAGAAATTATTACACAATCATATTGTATGTATGTACATTTGAATACACTGTAACTATCTCTATCTTTATGACTTAGAAGCAGCTGAGGAAGTAGTTCTTTAATTAGTTTTTCTTGGAACAAAATGTTGACAGCATGTTCAGAGAATTATTCAGGGTGATGGGGACACTGATATTTTGCCGTTGAGTATTTTATTTTGAGCAAACAGCAAAATCCATGAACAAAAATCCATTCACCTCTTTTGCATTGGGTGAACGCAGATATCTCCCAAAACCTGGGTAAATGAAACAAAAACCATCTGCATGACTACAACCAGAAGAGATGTGATTTGAGTAAAACAACCCTTTAATACCAAACATGTAATTGCATTTAGTACTGCCAATCAAAGGAAACTGGGTGCAGGGGCTCTTAGGCAAAATAATAATTAATTTCAGCTGGCACTGATACATACTGGCTCCACTTCACAGCTTATCTAATGAGGAACTCTACAGAAAGATACAAGTGAAGAAATGAAGTAGTGGAGACTGAGCTGAGGGAGACAGACTTTTCCTTTCCTTTCTATAAACCATGATAGGTTGAGTAAATACTGACATCTAATGCCCAGGACAGAGGGAAAAGCACAAGTAAGCTACAACTTAAATGCTACAAATCTTTTAAATGTGTCAAGACTTCCACTTTGAGCTAAATTAGCATAAATCTGGCAATAAGCGAGCAGCCAGGCGGCAATTCAAACACTGCAAACACAAAGCGACTGTGCTCCACTCCATGGCTGGATTTACACATCACTTCAAAAACTCCTCCTGTCGTTTTATTTTTACTGTATCATAAAATACCAAAGCATGCGCTGCATCCTTGACAGTTGGTCAACTGACTACACCATCACGGCTTGAACTCAGCAGCATTATTTTGAGATTGGGAGGAAAGGGGGGGGGTTGGTCCATTGATGTCTCTCTTTCCTTAATCAAATATGGCATCCTTTAAATACCATTACTGAAGGATTAATCCTCTTTGAGAAGCAAAGATCAAAATAAGGTCAACTAAACATTTCCCCTATTGCTCCGCCTGTCCCTGCTGATCTCCCTCTCTCTCTCTCTCTCTCTCTCTCTCATTGGGAGGCGCTCCTTACCCGGCAGAGGATGGACAGAGAGAAGAAAAATAAAGCAGGACCTTTAACTCGACCTTTCCACTAACTCACGCTTGTAACCTTTCCACTGCCCTTTGCCGTGCTGCAAGTGTTGATGACAAAGATTCTGAGGGGGAGGAGTGAGGTTGGTGTGTGAGTGTCTGTGTCTGTGTGTGTGTGTGTGGTCTGGCAGCACTTGTACCTGTTTACACTTTAGTACTCCGTATGTGCAAACAATGTTGAGATGTCAGTGTGTTTTACAGGTGTGTTTCTCTTCTTGAGTGAGACAGAGCAGGTTGGGCCCCTCTCTCTCTGTCTCTCTTCAGACTGATTAGGTTAATTAGCCTGCAAATTAGCTCTTTCAAAAACATCAAGGCAAATTAATTTTGCTGCAGAGACAAATGAAGGCTCCGCCAGGCAGTACGAGCATTGTGAGTGTGAGGAAGCGTGTGGTGTGTCTGGGTGAAAGTATTCATTTAGCAGCATATCATAATTATATTTGCCTCCCAATTTCAAATTGATTCGATTTCATTTTGGCAAACATTCAGATTCTCTAGTAATGAGAGGCCCAGAATGACCACGTTTCTCGTGTATATATTAATGTTGCTAAATGAAGTCAAGGCCTGCAATCCTCAAGGTGGATGTTTGGGTTGCATTACAGATTAAAAACTAATTAGAGGGGCATAAAGTCATTAAAATCCAATTGTAATTGGCTGCAGCCATTATAGATGTTTTCAACATCATCTAAATAACACTCTGTACTTTTACTGTGTAGTTTTGTGTTATTTCTATATTATATAGTATATAAAGTATTGTTTGTGCTTGATCTATCCAGGGAAATATCCGAATCAAGTTTATTGCCAAGGAATAAAAACATAAACATAAGATAAGAGATAAGAAAAAAGAAAAAAAGTACTGCAAAAGTCAAAAATCATAAAGGTAAAATAGAAATATTTAGTAGATAAAAAGTATGAAAATTCTATTTGAAAAATATGGAAAATATATCTGTTTTTAAAATGAAAATAGCTAAACAGTGTTTGAAACAAAGAGGAGGGAATACTGACAAAAACACTGACCAATGAATGTTCAAATGTTCACAGTATAAAGTATAAAGAATATGTGTATTGTATGTAGATGTATATGCGTTAATGTAATACACAGACGTGTACGTTGAGGGAACATGTAGTGTCTGCGGGGGGAGTATAAGGGTCTGTGTCTGAGGAGCTTCCTGGCTGCAGTCAAGAATAAACTGTTCTTGTGGTGTGAGGTTTTGGTCTCGATGGACCGCAGCCTCCTGCCAGAGGGGGGGTGTTTCAGAGGATTTCTGTCCGGAGTCACCTCAGGGTCCTGATCACTGATAGTAAGGCTCTCCTGTTCCAGAAAGTCCCCACTTACACTCACATAGTTCATATCTAGAAGACGTCTGATGTGATGGATGTTTAAGAAGCTCCACAGGGGTAGTTGGGGGTAAGGACCTTGCTTAAAGGCACCTCGGTCCTGGTTCAGAGAGAATTCACTTTTACACAGATTGAACCTGGTCTGAGGACTGAACCAGCAACTCTCCAGTCACAAGCTCACTTTTCTACCCTTCTGGCGATCACAGCCCCCAACATGTCTTCAAATGTTTTTTTAATATAATCATCATTTCTCAAACGCCCATCGTAACAACACTAAAAATACAAATGAAATGTGATACAGAATGTGATATAACATCATATAATATGACTGAATTAACTCTAACTCTTGCCAAGTGCTTAAAGTGCTCAAATGCTAATATCTACATTTCCATATCAGCAGGGCAGCACAAAAATACTATTGTATGCAAATTCAGCCACTAATTATTAACAATGCATATTGAATATTAAACCTTTACTGTTGCTCTTCCACCTTCCCTGTTTCCTTTTCCCCTCCCTTAACCAAGACAATAGTTTTCTTCTTGCAGCGGTGAGTGAGGAAGAGATGTCTACTAGTTTGAAATCCTGTGTGTTCATCCCTTTGCCTCTCAGCTTCTTTAGCTCACTAACCCATAAAAACGATGGCTCTGTTAACACCAAAAACAATGTTTTACACTTGGTTTAAGTCAGTCGGTCTAATCTATCCCCTCTGATCCTTCTGTTGGACTCAGTTTCTTTCTTATCCTGTGGCCAACACAGCATGGAAGTCCAGATTGTCCACTGTAAACAGACCTTTAAAAAGGAGCATCCCAACATTAACAAAGAGACCAGCTGCAGCTTTAAACCTCGTTTTCCAGTGACAAAAACAAGACAAAAAGAGCAAAAAGAAGTCTGAAGGCCTCTGCAGCGACCACGCTAACAGCAAGCTGCAGCATGTTTCAACAGGTGATTCATTCTAAAGGTCAGTCTAAAGCTGAAAGCCACCTCATTAGGAATTCATTTTCCACCATTTTTCTAAACATACAGTACATAATCATGGATGTAGACTTTGAGAGTGTGATTTTCGCTTGTGTGATTATATTTAAGATTGCTGCATTTTCAAATAAATCGATCGTTTATCCTTAAATTGCAACTACCCCAAACTGTGTCTCCCCGTCTATCACACAGTGTACTGAAAAGGGAAGATTACAAACACAATGGCAAAAATCAATGGCATTGACAACTGAACCAACAATCATTTGGTAAGTACACTGACCTGCTTGAGCAGGAGCCGTCAGTCCTTGAACACATCACGACTATAACTTACTGTCTACATGGGCAACAGTAAGTATGCGGGCACACACGTACGTCTACACCCACATACCTTTAGCAGTGTGTGAGGTTGTAACACCAAGGACATTAAGGCACAGATGTTCAAGCAATTCACACACACACTGTACCCTGTGAACTGTTGCCAAGGCAACTGTAGACCACTGACAAGGGGCTTATTGGTTTCATGAAGTGACTGTTGGCCGTGTGTGTGTGTGTGTGTGTGTGTGTGTGTGTGTGTGTGTGTGTGTGTGTGTGTGTGTGTGTGTGTCTGTCTCACAGGGCGCTAATGAAAGGCATTCATCATTCTGGTCTCTCCATCTTTACTGATTTCTGACGACCTCACACACACACACACACACACACACACACACACACACACACACACACACAGAGGCATGCACACTGCTAATCGCTCCCATCGTGGTGCCTACAGCTCTGAATGTGTGTGTGTGTGTGTGTGTGGAGGAGGATAAACTACATGGGGGGCAGGAGATAACATATTAAACATTCCTCCTGTCTCCACCTTCTCCAACTTACCAGAGAAAGCACACAACATGCTCAAATCATGCGTGTGTGTGTGTGTGTGTGTGTGTGTGTGTGAGAGAGAGAGAGAGAGAGAGAGAGAGAGAGAGAGAGAGAGAGAGAGAGAGAGAGAGAGAGAGAGCTCAGGCTGCCGGAATAAAGAAATGCAAATCTGCTCATTGAGTATTCAACAAACCAAATGTTTGCCTTGGGAAAAAAAGCTTTGCTTAAGGGACTAATTACTACAAGTGCTGGATGTAATGTTGCTCTGTTGCCTCTTTTTGCTCCTTCCTTCACTAGTGAGACGTGTGCTTTTTTTTCTTTGCTCATCCCTGGGTTTCTATTTCACCTACTTCCTCTTTCTTGCTCTTTGCTTCCATTTCCACAAATCCAAAAAGTACATTTATTACAGTGAGTGTGGAATACATCAATGACTAGTGGATCAGAGCATATTATTAAATGAGATTTCTTATGTGATAATTTGTGTTAAAATAAAATGAGCAGTGAGCATCAAATGGTTTTATATCTGGGTACATAATTTACATATATTATGTTATTTAACACCTAAAGCTTCTTTAAAGATAGTTTTAAAGATTCTTTAAAGAACTGTTTTCCAGATAATACTGCTCTATAATTATATGGTTTACCTGAACAAGCTGTAATTATTACATAATTACATTAGAAAGGCAAAGCATATTCCAAGATTTATGACCATATCATATTTATCATAACTTGTTTGGACTTGAAATGGATTTTATGTTAATTTGTTCCTTCACGGTTGACACAGTTTTGAATGAGGAAGGCAGGTATTATATATCAGTCTCCTCATATTCTTTGCATATGATATCAAATTTCAGTCTTCAGCCACTGGCAGGTGTGTAAGGAATGAGAATGAATAAAGAAATCTCATGGGGGGTGTTGATAGTAGGAGAAAAAATATCTTTCTGCAAAATCAGTTTTTCATCAGTCACTTTTGTTCCGTTTATCTGAATTGCAAGTTGTGTCACCTGATAAAGAAATTTAGATATTATTAAACAAAAACTCTATCCCGCTAAGTTGAGAAGAAATTAGTCTATAGAGCAAACACACCAGTCTGTAAGTGAGAAGGTAAAGGAAGGCCTTACCTTGACTGAGTCTCTGTCTGAGGAGGCAGACGGCAAGAGAGAGAGAAAAAAGACTGATTAAGGCATTTAATGTCATTACAAAACTTACAAAACTGCAAAGATATAATGCAAAAGACATACACACACACACACACACACACAGAGAGAGAGAGAGAGAGAAAGAGAGAGATGATAAGGTAACATCAATGTCAGCTAAGACCAAAAGTAAATTATTTTCCTCTTTATTTTACCAGCTAGCCTCTAACATGTTAAGTGAAATATTATGATGGGAAACAATAGCAGAAATATATGATTATGCACAGGCCAGTACAGTGACCTTCCATTAGTGAAGTCATTCAGAGTGCTAACACCCTGTTTCCATAGAGAAAGACACAAGGAGTACTGCAGCGGTTGCAACAACAAGGATTTAGACTATTTAAACGTGGTTGAACTCTGTTCCAGGGAATTTAGCTTAAGGCTGCTCAAAACCTGCAAGAGACTACTGGATGACATTAGGTCACATATGCTACAGTTCTCTTTTCTTAGCAGAGAAAGAAACTGTAGGTTTCCATTGGAAGTGTTGTGATGATCAGGCCGGTTTAGATTAGACAAGTGAGTAAACTAAATATACAGACTATGTACCCATCAGCTGTTGGGATGTATTGCCAAATGCATTGAAGGCCAACAGATTAACACCGAAAATGGGAATACTGGGTTGCTGTAAAAAGTTGCTGTATTAGTAAATTAAGGAGCTTAGGGGCAACAGCCTGCATTAGAACAAATAAATACATTTAAAAAGACTAAAAAGGCAAACAAAGAACCCTGTTATTCCCTACATGCACACCCATTCACAGGAACTCGGCTGTAGATGGAATTGGATTGTTATTGATTTTGTTCCTAATGGGGGTAAGTATTACCTGAGTTAGCTTTACTGCAGCTACAGGGCAAGGTTAACTGCTCTACTGCACTGTACAAACCCTCACAGCCATGCTGAAACAGAGTAATTAAGAGCTTGCACACACTGTTTCTATCACACGCACACACACACACACACACACACACACACACACACACACACACACACACACACACACACACACACACACACACAACAAGAGTCTCTATGTACTGTAATTAAATGCTTTAGCTCAAAGTCATCTTGGTGAAGAAATAGAGGCGTTCTGCATGTACAAGAGAAAAGAGGCATCATGGTGGCTGTGTATCGCTCCTTATTAGGCCAATTAAAACAGCATAATGACAAATCAGTTTTTAATTGCTTTAACTGCTGTTCATTCAGAGTACTAACAATTAAGAATCAGCATCAGTTAGTATAATTCATAACTTTGACTGAATATTCCAGACATGTAACATTAGTTTGGGATCATTAGCTAAACAAAAGATAAAAGATTCAGTATTTATGTCTGTTAAACGCATTTGGCATCTGCTTATGAATGACATAAAACAGCATAAGTTTGCGCAATTATATAGGGTTGTCTGTATCTCACATGAACAAAATGATATTTTAGCCGATTATGTAACCTTTATCTTGATAAATAATCTGTCAGTGGAAGTGAAAATGAAAAGTAGACTACAAATGCAAAGATTTACAGCAATCTAATAAAGCTTTTATTTAATATGATGCAAGAATGTGACATAATAGAAATTTCAGAAGTGAGACGCAACAACTGATGAAGATTTATGTATTTCCGTCTCATGTGTTCGTATCATTCCTAAATGTGGCTGTAAAGTGGAATTAAAATCAATTTGTGTTTTTAAAATAAAAATGGAGGAGGAAGTAACCAAACAAACTGAATGTTTAGCATGCGTAACTGTTTGACAACCAGTAGTGCATGCTTAGACTTAACGCAGACATGAAAAAACACCTGCACACACACAAACATAAACCCATCAACACCTTCTGAACCCACACACATATGCAGAGCAGGCCTTACCTCTTGGGTGCTCACTGTTGTTGTCGTGGTGTTTCCTCTCGTCTTTGAGCGGCAGCTGGTGGCTCAGGGCGGAGGACAGAGCCAGCAGGCTGGCAGTACCAGCCCCCGGGGGCAGGGGGGGCTGGAGGCCCGCTGGGTGTGGTGTGAGTGGGATGGGGATGGCGTGGCCGTGGGAGAGTTGTTGAGCCTGAAGCTGCTGCTGCTGAACCACACACCGAAACAATAATTACTGTAATGCTACATTTTGACTCTGCATGCTAGAAGCAAATAAGAAACTGAGATAGAGAGACAGACAGGAAGGAGAACTGAGGAGATGGAGAGACAAAATATGGTGGTGATGCTGATATTGTAAAGTTTTAAAAATCTAAGTATCCTCAAATTGCAAAAATCTCTGGATACCTGAATATGTAACAGGTGTGTGAAATCACAAATACAGTTTCTTTATTAAACTAAATATTTATTTATTTTAAATGTTTCCACGTGCCCCGAGCAAACCAAAACCTTGCAAATAAATATACCAGCAGTGACTTTTATTAAAGTTTTTTTTATTTACATTTGTTACCAGCCAATATTCTTGTTTGCCCTCTTTGTGGTTGTTGCTTGGAAATGTAGTTATTAAAGCGTAACACAAGATTTGTATGAAGCAGGACATTTTGCAGTTGAAAATCTAGTCAGCGCTCTCTGGTGGACAAACCTGGGAGACTGTGTCTGAGTGACCTTGAACATAAAGTATATTTAGCACTTCTGCACTGCAATTTCTTATTACTCATTGGCCACGACTCAGACAGAATCCACGACTCTAAACACACTGAAGTGTTTGGAAATATAAAAACATTCTGCCGTGATGAACAAGTAATGAAAAGTCGATTTTCATACTGCTAATCTCAATAGTTATGCAATTTTATTATTACTTAGGTGAATGAATAAGGTAAAAACAAGTTAAAAAACATCACTTTCTCTTGCACTCAGTTAGCATTAGCAATAAGTGTTTAGCTGCACAAAATCTATTTTTCCAGAACTCTCCCTGCACCACTTTTTTTTTTAGTCTCTGTCAGATCTATCTTTCAGCATCTTCTATTACTTTGTGTGCGTATGTGTATGCATCTGTGTAATACACCCACTCCTATGATGGCGTTGAGTTCAGCCATGGTGACCTGCTTGGCCCTCTCCACTGCCTGCACCACCTGCTGCTGATGCTGGGAGAGAGACAGACAGACAGACAGAAGCAATCAGATATTGAAACACCAACTGAGACAGCAGAGAAAAGAAGACCTGATCAATTCAGACATTTGAATTTTAAAACAGGATTATGAAGATTATGACCTCTATGGACAAACTGAAGGAACTACAACAACAGTATTACCAATGTATTCCTCCTACACAACTCTCTGGTATAAATAAGGATGATAATATAGTATATCAAACACTTGTGAATCAGCTACAACTTCACATCTGTTCAGGATTTTTTTTCTTAAATCACAAGTGATTTGTCAGCTGTCAGTTAGTTGCACATTTCACAGTGATTGACAAACACTTCAGTAGAAATCAGTAATGCACTGATCATAAAACTTGACAAACTGTCTCATTAAACCAGCCATAAATGTGCAGAAATAGACTGAGCTACAGTATTTTACTGTTCCTTGAACTAGATATGTTTTTTCTCAGCAGTTTCTGGACAAAAGCATCCATCATGTTAAGGCTCTGACCAGATCCAGTTTAAATGACATCAGATAAGAACCTGAGACACCTCTGAGTCACTGCTGCTGTTTGCTCTTTATTTGGAAAGAGAGTCCCCCCTCCTCGCAGTTTGACACTGACCAGTGTGTTCATTAAAACTCACCGGATAGGAAACATGAGCCGCTAATTAGGCCGTACTAGTTGGTCAAGTGTAACTTGCACAGGTCAGTTAATTCCCTCTTCTTTGGGGAGCAGCATTTGAAAACCAAACGTGTGGTGGTCCAAAGGGGGGATGGTTGAAGATCCCATGGTTGCTAATAAGTCAAAGATATACAGTTCAGACCAAAGAATTGCGACAAGATGAGTTCAAATTTGCAATGCGCCAGTCTGCAACATTCTCAAAACCTGCCAATTTACATCGCAACTAGATGAGATGGTGTATCATATCGTCATTTGTCTTAAAATATGAATGAGGATAATAATAGTGAGCTACTTGCTATAGTTGTCTTTCTAGAAACGATAAAAAAACCTGCAAAAAAACCCAGAGGGTCGAGCATTTGGAGCCGTGCTCTTTAGAGTACATTTTAAGGCCTGTGTCATACAGACATGGCTGTTTCTTAGACAAGCTCATAAGGTGATCCTCTCTTTCTTCCCTCCAAAACATTTCGACCAGCTTACAGTTACAGACTTGATGAGCTGACTTTCCTACATGCCTTGCATTCTAAAACCAGCCACTGGAGTTTTGAGAAGCTGAGTCGCAGGTGATGCCACCAAACGGTCGAGACGGGCCCGTTTACACCACTGCAACTTTTCCCTGCAACGTTCTGAAACTGTTTCATCGCGTCACGTGTCTTCGGTCTGAACTGGGCTTAAGAGCTCCTGCACAACAGCTATAACCATAAATGTGATGATACATTTTCTGCCCACACACATCAAAATGTAGCTTCACAAGAGATAAAGAGAAAGAGACAGATATACAGAGAGACAGACAGCTAACAGGGCAAAGTCATCCAAAGGGTACAGAGTGAGAAAGGCAGATCCAGACGGTGAGAGAGAGCAGCAAGATTCATCCAGGAGCGCAAAACATCAAAGTAGGGCACAGATGAAAGAGCTTATCCGGTGTGGAAATGAACCTGACCATCGAGTTCAGCTACACCTCTGCAGACTGAGTCTAACCTGCCTGAACGTGACTCACACACGAAAAGATCCATCGGTCTGATGAACGTTGGCAAACAGCTTTTTGTACCATTACTATCAATAATTCTTCAAAGATTATTAACCTGAGATGGACACCAGAAAATCAATAACCAAGAATTTACTTTGTCATCTCAGTCAAATCCTTTTCTTTTCATCACAATGTCCTCAGAGTTTACCTGTTATACTGTGATACAGAAACAAAACATCTGAAACACTGCTTTGTTTGTTAGCTGCCTGGATCTATTAAAACACTATTTCCAATTGTCTGCTATAGATAAAGGAGACAAGCACAAATTACTTCAATGCAAATGCAAAAAAAAAAACAGAATGCAGAATGCTGAAAGTAAGTACAGACTGACACACTTTTATATTATTGCAAGGGAAAACATGACTGGAAATGCCAAAAGCTCCCTTTTATTTCATTCCATTCAATAATTGGCTAGAGATGCTGTACTTAAGGCTGGGTTTGTTAAAAAATATTAAAATATTGTTGCCACTGCGGTAACTTTTTGTTCTGGCATCAATACCAAAACATTACTTTCTAAATTTACATTACTTACCCTAACCCAATTATATCAATATATGCACAGTTACATGTATTAGCCATAATTCTGATCTTGGTCCTTATACAGGTAAAATATTTCTGAACAATTACTGCCCGACACAGTGGGTCGACTCATATATCATCCCATTAGTGACAACAATGATGCTGTCAAAGAAATTTCCAAACTGCGAGAAGGAACAATATCAGAAAATGACATGAAATAAAAAATAAAAACAAAGAGGTCTCCCGAACACATGCGTACACAGTCGATGTGATTTGCTGCACAATAATAATATGATTGTGTTTCATTTCATATGCACAGCCAGTAAACGAGGCTGTGCATCCAAACAAAGCAGTAAAAGCCGTTTCCACTCCCTGCCTCCCCTCTCTGCGGGCCTCAGGGCTGTGTAGCAGCACCACAGTCTAATGCCATTATTCCTAATCCACCCTAAACCCTCCTAATCCATGGCTAATCTGGAGGAGAGCTTTGGAGTCCACACTCACTCCCTCCTGCTGTTCCCACCCCTTAACACACACACAAACACACACACACATGCACACACTTTCAACTCCTACAGAGGAAGGATTTATCAACACACACACACACACACACACACACACACACACACACACACACACACACATACACACACATACACACACACACTTAAAGATTCCATAATAAAGGTACTGTATAAAACACTCCCACTACTGCATGTGCGCACATTTACAGTGTATTGTATGTTTATGCAGGTTAACAAATATACAAACACACACAAAATATACTCAAACAAAAGAATTTTCTCACACACACTCAGCCACTGGCTCCTGCATATGTTAGTGGGAGACATTTAATAAGTTCAGAGCATATCTGCCTATCCCGAGCAGGGAGGATTAGCCCAGGATAATCTGTGTATGTGTGTGTGTGTGTGTGTGTGTGTGTGTGTGTGTGTGTGTGTATACACGGCAGTATGCATGCATGTGTGCCCTCACAATCCACCACACACTTTTCCTCCTTCTATGGGTCCTATCAGTCTTCCTCCCTCTCTGTCTCTGTCTCTCTCTCTCACCCACCTTCATCTTAACTCACACTGACAGGCATTTTTGAGTCTTACCTCTTGAGAGAGGAAGGGGATGACTTGGGCGCAGATTGCGTTCAGCCGTTTGACAATCTCCGCCTGCAAGACAGAGAGGTAGGCGCAGGAAACACAATCATCTTCAGATTCACCACTGGATGAGAAGGTGTCGTCTTCTTCACACAACCTACAAATGCTCACATCAAGTCAGTTTTAATGTATGTTAAATTCAAGTAATAACCTATATTACTGTCACACAAGGGCCAGTTCAGATTAAACAACAGTAATTTATGTACACTCAGTTGTTAGAAACATTTTTTACTAGAAATAGTATGACCTGATCCTAACAAACCAGTATGTTTGAGTGGGACAATGTGGGACATGTTACCAGTGCTGTGAGTCTAAAAACTTTATGTCTTTATCTTTATTTTTAATGTCCTGTTTAATGTTGTAGCTGCATTCTGCTTTTCGTTGTGGTACTTAAATCTGCATAACCTGTGACTTTGTGATGACTCATAATTTTCGTTGTGGTACTTAAATCTGCATAACCTGTGACTTTGTGATGACTCATAATTTCCCCTGTTGGGCGTAGCGTGGCAAAGACGGTGACAGGTTAACCTGCATTGGACCCACGTTTGTGGTTTGATTGAAATAAAGCTCTGTGCTGTCTTCACAGGCATTGAACATGATTTTAAAAATTGAAACATGATTTTAAAAAAGACCCTGCCCTGCAGTGGTTTGACGTATAAAAACTAGAGCCAATCAAAATGTGGGACACTGTCTCAATATGTGGAACGTGGGACAAGGGATAAAAATGCTGTGTGGTTTCAAGTCTGGTGGGTTTTTCATGTCAGGCATTTTTACATATAGCATAAAAAGTTTCCTTTGGAGACCTCAAGCAGTGCTATAGAGCTGTTTTTCTACGTGTGGGTCCCCCCTTTTAGCCCATGTACACACACAATAATGCACATGCAGGCACGGTCACGCTGGTGACGCAATACACTGTCCTAACAATCCTATTCTAATCAACAGGCAGCTGTAACAGACCAAGACATGCTGCAATGCACCAGCAAAGCCAGGGAGGAAGAAGACAGCAAGCTAGTAAACATTGATGTAAACAATGCTTTAACATTCGGCTTTGCAAATGTTTTATGAGGCCCTCAAAAGGTTGTTGGACCTCAAGGATACATACAATACGTTTCGGTTTGTAAACTTGACCTTTGCTTGTTTACAAGAAAACTCCACAGGGCCCCTTTAAGTTAAGGAACTTAACTTGAAAAGATCGAAACTATGAGAAACTCAAACTTCATCTGCAGACAAATGCAAGAAAAAAGAGTAAAGTGCCACCTACACATTTAAAAAGGATCTCTGTAATGCACAGGTAGCACAGGAATGAGCACTTTGCATCACTATCACCAAAACTAACCTGACAGAGAGACTGCTCTCTGAAAACCTATTCAGTCACACACACACACACACACACACACACACACACACACACACACACACACACACACACTTCTTTAGACAAACATTTACATTGACAATGTGACAATCTACACATTAATGTATTCAAAACACACACCATCTTCATCATTCTTGATGTAGAGCATTGCATCTTTTCTATTGATCAATGTATATGCACACATCAAGTGAAATCAATCAACTCCAACTTTGTAAGAGAGACTTTTAACAACCTTGACCATCTTATTTTACTTACATCAAACACATGCTTCATCAGATAATTAGCTGTTTAAAAAACTGTCCCATTTAATACAAGCAAACGTCATTTTGTTAATTTACTAAATAAACACTGCTGTATGCAATAAATGTCATGTTTTCTTCAGTGTAATTTCTGCCAAGAAGCCATAGACTTACTGTGCTCCCTGCTGTCTAAACCATTCATGAGAGAATAATGGAATAAAAATAACTGTCAGTCTGTCCAGAAAAAGCCAGAAACAGAACAATGGGGTGATTTTCAGCACAGAGAGCGTCGAGAGAAATTGTGTTTTTTATTCAACGTTTTCTTCTTCCCTGTCAAAACCTGCCGTCTACTTTACCCACAATGCAATCTGAAAGGCGACAGTTTTGTGGGAGATTCAGGTGTGTTAGGCTAGTAGCGTCTAATGAAGTCTTGAACTGCTAGCCAGAGATGAGGAGTGGTCTACAGAGGTCTGGTAAGATCACTCCAAACTTGTTATCTTCATCCCCGCCAAAGCCACAGCGCTCACGTTAGCAAATTTCAATAAAATGTTCGTCTAAATATTTAGTAAGCGGAGTAAGAACCATTGTAACGGCAAGATCTGCGTCTTTTTTAAATTATTTGAGACATTTTGACAGTTACACTTCCCACTTCCAGTGACAAGGCCAATTATTAGAGCTACACCTGAGGTAAACCTTCATGGTCAATATCAGCTTATTGCACCTACATCAGTCACAAGAACAAGAAATTACAATACAGAAATGCCAAACAAGGTATATTTTAACTATAAAATATCCCACTCAGTATGCATCTTGGTCATAATTCTTTGAAAAAAAAACACTGTATCAATCTATTTTTTATGTTTTTACAAAATGGCTAATTTTAAACTCACAAATATCAACATCACTATGAGCCTCAAAAATCCAGCATCATCTGGGATATACCACTTATCCTTCAGCATCTCTGGAAGGTTATTCTACTGCTGCACTCTCTGAACATCAATCAACATCAGCCTAATGGATGATTTGTAAATATAAACCCCTGATTTGGCCCTCTTGAGAATGTGAAGGAGCGTGGAGAGAGAAGTCCACTTGAGCAGAAAGCTGAAGGAAAACATAAGAGATGTGAGATTTTTGTCGACTTAATCTGCTAAGTTAAGAGCCAACAACTGAAAAAAGGCATCATGCACAGAGAAAATTCCTCCAAGTCCAACATAAATGCAGAAGAAGCTACAACCTTGTCAAGGGTTTGTTTGTTTGTATGTAACCTTGATAGAGGTGAACTTTGCTCTGGTATCAGTGGTAACAGAAGCCCCCAGAGGCCATGAGAGAAAAGAAGCAGAAGCAAAACTGCGGCAGGATGGTACACATAAACACAACCGTGTGCACACAGACACACACCTGCACAGCCCTCTCTGTATTCATCAGATGTTTTTACTGAACCCAAGGGTTGGCTTTTAAAGATTATACAGCACTCTCTCTCGCTCTCTCCACATCAGGTAGGATTTTTTTTCAACAGGAAATTGCCTGATCCACCGTCCCAAAGGGAGTGCTAGTAGTGCAACTCAAATCCAAACACAAACATAGACAAGACGCAGACTCACAAAATCCCCACACTAAATGACACACAGGGATACACATCACGTCTTTTATTTGTAAAACTAAACTACAACTATATAACAAAACGTCTTTTGAGAGAGAGATCACATGACCTGCAAGCAGAATGGTCACAAGACAGTAGTAGCGTCCAGATTTTACAAATAATTTGACTTAAAGATAGGGCAATTAATCAATTTTTATTTTCAAGTAGGATTTATGGCTTCCAACGATTATAAACACAAGATAATCAAGATAAAGTTCATTGTGCCTCACACCACTTTCCTTTAGAGCGGTGCTCCTTTGTCCCTACCCAGGCTGTGACTGTGGAGAGTCTTTGGCCGTGTTTGTGCGTAACATGCCCAGAGCTCAACAAGCACATTAAATACTAAATGAGATTATAGCTAAAATCCTATTTGGGAGTCACAATGACCTTTGACCTTTGAGTTACAAGTGTCACCAATTCAGTGACCGACCAGCAGTGAAATATGATCATTTGGCATCAGCACGGTACCGAAGTATCGGTTACATACATCTGCCAAAGAAGCAGCACCAGGTAGAGGATAATGTTTTGCCAGTTAAGAGTTGAAGCTGCAGAATAAAGGTGTAGCTAGAAAAAGCAGCCATGTTGTCAAAAAATGACAGAAAACCAAACAAAAGGGCAGAAGCATGACTTCAAGCTGAGGCTTGTTCACTCTTCAGACAGTTGCAGTCATTCCCACAGATTTACTTACTGACAACTGTCTCACTATGCTAGAAAAGACCTTAAAATATCTCTGACATCCAAGGGCTCTCATTCTTTCTGATGGTGTGTTTTATTAAATGGTGCTGAGTGTTGTGCTTTTAAGACTTCAGAGGCCATGGATGTAGAGCTTAATATGTTTTTTTCAAGATGTCTGAGCACCAACTATCAGTAGAGTTAGGGAGCCATTAAGCAGATGGGGAACTCGAGGGTAGGTTGTAGTTCAACTTACCTGTGATTAACTCCCACAGACAACCTAAAACACTGATATTTTCATTTTATATTCGACGTTTATCAAGGGAACACTTGCTATGCACACATGCCCTTTTTCAGCTCGGTTCTGCTTCACATTAATACACACTGGGGAGCTGCCCAATACATATTAGCCTCTGAAAAACTGCACTGTATTAGTTGGTTGGCGTTTAAGTGCTACGTGTTAGGTGTTGAGGGCATTTCACAGCAGGGGAACCAGTTGGTGATTCTACCAACCCTAGCTGTAGCTTAAGGAGAGAATTAGTAAAATAACTGCTTCCTCTGGTGGGTGTTTAAGGAGACGGAGAATGGATGGCAGACAGCTAAAGCAGTGAGGAGCTGTATGAGATATTGCCACATCTGTTTGGACAAAAGATGACTGCCAAGCACCTCCAACATTAGAACATCACCTATGAACCTTGCAAAGTTGGCCAAAAACATGCCAAAAGTTTATGAAAGTTTGAGCTCTACAAGTATTATTATTGATTTATTATTGAAGTATTTGGGACCATTTTATACCTCTATTAGAGAGATGACAGTAGGAATGGGGAATGACCGAACTATGGAGGTTGCAAGATTAATTGGCAACTACTTTGATAATCAATTAATTGTTTAAAGCTCCGGTGTGTAACATTGAGATGGATCTATTGGCAAAAATTTAATATAATAGGATTTTTTTCATGAGTGTATAATCACCTGAAAATAAGAATTGTTTTGTTTTTATTACCTTAGATTGAGACGTTTTTATCTACAGAGGGAGCAGGTCCTTGTTGAACCACCATGTTTTACAGTAGCCCAGAACAAGCTAGAT